TATATATATATATATATATATACATGTATATATATATATATATATACTTCCTTGGTTACGCGTCATTTAAAAATTCCATGTTAGGTTTCGAGTTCTATCTTTTTTATATAACTATATCTTAGGAGTGTTTCGATATACATTTAATCGCTCCATTTAAACTTATAAGAATTCGTTTGTTCTAAATTTACGAATTTTAAGTTATCTTGTTTAATCTCTTTGTTTTACGATTTGCAGCTGGGGTTCTGCATTTCATGCTTTCGCACAACCATTTAGTGTGCCACACACAGCTTTATCGTGTATTCAAACAATGCTTTCTTCCATCATATCTGCTCCACTCAATCCTTTCTTAGGTTTTTTTTTATCGAAAGTTTTACGTTAGGAAGTTAGAAAGTTTTGTGCTTTCATTTTGATATCTTCGTAGGAAATAGCATTTTTTAACGGCGAACTTATGCTTTTCTCATATAATTTTTTCATTAAATACCTGGAATTATTTCGAATATAGATGCTCACCAAAGCCAATAAAAGAACATGAAACATTTCAACTACTAATTGAAGGTTCATCATTTTTCTTGACGTCCTACGTGCGACCGGTGAAATTTTGGGAAAAGGATTACAATACTCGTCGCGTAGATCATTCTAATACACGCCTAATTTCACAAATTGATCGCGGACCAATGATAGACGATAGTAATTTGAATGCTGTTTTTTATGAACACTTGACAAGATCACTGCAGTCATCACTGGCGGGCGATATCCTTTTGGGACGTTGGTCTACAGCTGTACAACCTGGAGACTGCTTCATTTTAGCTAGGTTCATAATCTCATATGCCTTGTTATTTGAACGAGCCTGTAGTTTGAACAAGTTCTGCGGGAAGTGTGGAATTAGTGCTGTAACCTCATCGTCAGCTTTAGCAGATCCATGGTTCCAATTTTATAACGGGTTATTGGTGTTCGCACCTATAACCGGTTATTGGTCTTCTAAACATTTGTTAGGAAGCATCAAAAAATTTAGAATTACTAATTAGCACTTGGTTTTGTTCGTATGATAATTTTAAAGTTTCAATTTCTTATCTTTCTTATTTCAAATCATGGCAAGAAAGTGTTTATCGTTGTTTATTTTCAGCTATTATTTGAATTGCTTAGTACACATTATTGAGGTCGGCAATGGTTTTGTGACCTTTCAATTACGGGGTCTTGAATTCAGAGGAACATACTGTCATCAACGTGAGGTTAATTTTACAGTTCAAATTCAAAATTTCAATAACTCATGGTATGAAAGTAATTGATATGAATACTTATTTTTGCAGTTCTGCTTAATTTTAATTTTAAATTTTTCAGGTAGAAGCAATAAGTGAGGATGTTGGGGAGGGTATGGGCTGCTGCTGTTGTTCTTTGGGTTCACTTCCCGGTATGTTATCGTTGAATACAGCTTGGGTTCTGCGATGGCTTGCATGGGAAGTTGTTACAGCGAAATATATTGTTGATGGTTACTCAATTACTGACAATTCTGCTGTAAATTTGCTCCAAGTTAGTGTTCACGGAGAGGGTCCTCATTGTTTTCTTTCAGTGCAATCTCAAACTGATTTTACTTTTTGCCACTTGAGCAGAATGTTTTAATAAATACTTTGTATAGTGAAATGCTCAATTTTAATTTATATATTCCCAGCACAGAAGTTGCCTTAATGCTTTTTCCAGCATTCCTGCGCAGACGCTTATTGCCAACACCTGCGTAATTTATCTGACAGAGCCATAAACTCCGTTACTAATGAAAACGAGCTTTCACCAAAAATTCTTGACTTAGAAAAAGTCATTTTTTTTGAGATATAACTTTTTCGTACCTTTAAAAACTTTAGTTTTAGGTGCACGAATTGCGTCGATTATTAGTTACATTGTATGTAAAGAGCATCATATTTTATGCCTTTAATTCACCAAAATTTGCCCAATGGATTCGATTATCCAATATAGTACGTGTTTGGTTTTGAAAAGAAGAATGCGTAGAATCTATGGATTGTATTTGGACAATATTCTTCGAATTCTTTTTATGCAGTTTTTTTTCTTCGTTTTCTTTTATGCAGTTTCCTCAAATTCTTCGAAATTCTTTTTTCTTTTCCCGGGATTTGAATACATTTTTGTATTGCAAACACTCCGAACATTTTCAGCTCACTGCTCTACGGCCAATTGAAACAAACAATCGATATGTTGACTTGGACCCAATGTTTAGCGCTGCGAATGACGAAGATTTCGATATCAACCTTATGGTATTTTTTAGTTCTGGGATTTTCGAACTCCAGTTCCGGGTTATACCGTTTAAATTTCACAATTTTTGTGTATTTCAGGGTATTTCCCGACACTGTTTCACGGAACTGTATGAAAATTGGATACTCTACTGCGTAGAGCAGCATGCACAGCACAATGCGGATTTGTAAATTTTAGAAATTTTCACCAATTTTTACAAACACCGATCTCTTCAAGTTTTTGGACTTATAATATTGAGACCAGATACATGCTGTACGAGTGAAAGCGTTAGCGAAGTTCTTGATTTTTCAAAATGCTTGCGAAGTTGTATCAAAGGCAAAGTATATATAGGCATAGATATAAATTGTTAATAATAAAACAGGTGAAAGTTTGGAAATGATTACAGGGACACTGAAAAAACTAACATCAATAGAATTATTGCATTCTGTTTTGCACTTTCGGTTGTTGGACGAAGAGCACTTGCTGCTGCAGCGCATAATCGCCATGCAAATGCTGCCGAATCATTCCTTTATGGTTTACATGCTTTGTTTAAAGGCGATTTTAGGTTCGTGTTTAATTTTTTCCGACTTGGTTTTACTGCCAAAAGGTTTCTGTTTGAGTGTTGAAAATATTGGGTATTTAGTGGAAAACTGCTTCAGAATTACTGCTGGAGTTAATTTTAATGATGATGTTAGAACTATTATTCCTCTTGAATGTCTTATAATTTTTCAGGATAACATGTCAGCGCGACGAGTGGGTGTTTGCCGACATGGATTTATTACGATGTGTGGTAGCGCCAGCGGTACGAATGGCTCTGAAACTGCATCAGGATCATTTTACTGCTGGGGATGATTTCGATGATGCTGCACTGCTCTACGAACGCATCACACATCATTTGACAAGATTATTTATTTCACATGAAGTAAGCTTAGACACTTCGCTTTAAAGCTTCAAAAGAAATTTATTTTGGAGATTTTTCTAATTTCCAAACAATTTCCTTTTTTATTTTATTGATAATTAAGCATGATCCTGCTTGGAGAAGAGCTATTATAGCAAATACTCCGACTCTGCTAGCTCTGCGACACATTTATGACGATGGTCAAGATGACTACAAAATCATCATGCTGAACAAAATGCACCTCAACATGAGGTATTTTGATTTATATCTATGGATATCAATTAAATATTATTTTCCATCTTCTATCATTCATATTTTAGAGTAATAAAACTGAATCGCGAATGTGTCCGCGCGTTTTGGGCTGGACAACAGCAAGAGTTGATTTTTTTGCGAAATCGAAATCCAGAGAGAGGGTCGATCCAAAATGCTCGTCAAGTTTTGAGGTACATAAGTAGTTTTGAGGTAACAAAAACGATACGAAGAAATGATACCGCATCCTCGAAAGCCTAATGTTTTATTTTGGTTCGAAGTTCGCAATTTTTTTTAATACTCCTCGTTTTTCAGAAATATGATCAACAGCAGCGCGGATCAGCCAATCGGGTATCCAATCTATGTATCTCCTCTCACCACTTCTTTTGTTGATTCACATCCCCAGTTACACTCACTGAGTATCCCACCAATGGCATTTGAACTTATATCTCGATCTTTTCACTTTTTATGGGCTTCACTGAGCACAAATTTTGGTACCAGTCGAAGCAGCAATATACCAACACAGGCGAGACACTGCTTCAATTAGAATTTCGATTCCATAGGACATTTCTGATTTTGTGCCATTTTTTGCGCTCTAAACTTCTTTTCGAAGAAAATGAAGTCCAATGAAATCATTACGTGAAGACCTACCTGGAGCGCGCAGATTCTATTTGCGTAAATATTTTTAGCTTATGACGACGACAGCTACGACAGAAGTCGCAACACGTACTAATCCAAGTAACGAAGGCCAAATTAGCATGGAACATCAAAGTGGGATACCAGTCTTTGCTGCTACATCTATCACACCTGTCCAAAATAACAGACGACGGTTTGCAGCTGCACCCTTGATCACTATGTTCAGAGTGAGGATTTCTGATTTGAAATAATTGACGTTCCATGCTTGTCATGGAAGGTTTTTTTCATCTTCATGTGGATTCCCACCTCTAATTTTCATGAAGAGATGAAACTTTTTTCTGATATCACAAAGAAAAAAATTGCTTTCTGAGCCGCAACATGTCTTATACACACCTTTTTGGAGCGACACTTTTTTTCCAGACTGTTATTCCGATTTTGGCAAGTTTTGAATGTTTTCATATAATTTCAGCAGGAAAATTCCATTGTTTCGATCACTGGCAATGGTGTTACGAAAGTGATGCTGTGGAAAGATGCTCTAAAATTCCTCGAAGCTAATGATGCTACACATCGAGGTGGATCACTGCTAAATTCTACGCGAAATGAACAAACTGAGTATGCTAAAATTACTGATATGGAACAAGTTGGTATTCATATTTGAGACTTTGCAAATTCTCTTCAGTTCCCAAGTTTACCAGAAACCTTCGGGGCCTTAAGACTATGATTTCATTCCTTCAAAAATTCTCTAAATTTCTTTAACATTTTTTCTCCGAAGTGTAGTTTTTCTTGTACTTTTGTAGGATTTTTTTTTCCTTCTGAATTTTTAGCTTAATTTTAGCATAATAATATGCATTCAGAATATGTAGGCGTCACTTTCTCGCCAAGTCTTGTATCAAGACTTTCTTTTGAAGTAAGAACGACGTAAGAAATTTAACGTCTTTATTAAAATCACCTTATAAGGTATTTGCTTTTATTTCCAGGTCTTTACATGCTTAGATGAACCTTTAAAACCGACCAATGCACTGATTACTTGGCCGCATATTCACTGGCAAACGGCCGGTGGCCGTAGTTCATGGGATTGGATGTCGTTGAAGGGGCACCGAGGTAAAGTTGTACATAAGTGGGTACCATTTCATCCGCCGCGTGAACGGCAATCACATGCAGGAACGATCTATTTGGTGAGTAACCATTCTTCCTCGTAGACACTTTTTTTTTAACAAGGTGAGAGAAATCCGGACTTCCAGAGTAACTTCTGATTATTTAATTCATGATTTGTGATATATTCTAGAAATTTGAGGATAAGTGGATATTTATATTTTGTCACGTATGACATGAGCTGTCCCACAAAAAGACCTGTTCAACAGTCAGATGGTTTGTCCAGCGGTGTGGTTCCTTGACTCATAGTAATTTTGAATGACAAGATTTACCTTTTGATTCCGGAGAGCGCTCCTTATCTTAGTAAGATCATTTTCAAGTTTTCTCATTTCATTGACTTCTTTTGTGAATTCGATTGCAGTTATGTGTAAAAGAAATGGGTGATTGCTATGTCCCTGTTGGTGAGGACGGAATCGAATTCATCACAAAAGAAGAATACGAAAATGATATGAGAGTTGAAGTGGCTGTCAAAATGGAACTTTTGAAGGCTTGATATTTGCTTCAGATTTGTGAGTGCATAATTTCAATTCGACTGCTAATAGTTAGAAATTAAGAAACTATCCTATGAAAATCATGAAGCGTTCGGACAGAAGCTTGGTAAACATGGATTAAGCCGATAAAACCTAACAAATCTGCTATAAACCGGAACACACATTCCGTCCCAAATTTTTTGGAAATATTTACTTACGTACGCCAGTTTGTGTATGCAATGAAGTAACAGTGAATTTTCGTTTGTTTCATCACAGTAGGAGCGATTAAATAGCTAAGAGAACTGAAAGAAATTGAAAATAAGAGATCTGAAACACATATATAATGCTGGTGTTCATTTTCTAGTCTGCAAAACATCAGCATTTCTTGCTCGTGGGGAAAAAATTGTTCTTCGCAATATCACTATTTATTATTTATTAAATCATTCACTTTTCGAAACTTAAAATACATCGCCATTTCCTAGAACATTTACGATTATTCAATTTATTCATGACACGTTTCATATTTTTTATGGATTTCCCAATTTTATATCTAATCAAACAAAAATAAGTCCTTCTGTTTTTGCATTAATGCATCTCAAGTATCCAGTAACAAGACAGAGCTCCCTTTTCCTTTCATTTATAAAACACAAAACGTAAAGAGCATTTTAGCTATGACGACATAAGCGCAAGTTAGGGCAACTCATAAGCAAATTTGGTCAAATAAAGACCAGTTGCCGGTTTAGGAATGTTTTACTGAAAACCCTTTAAAATGGCGCATTGTAATTTGTAATTTGAAAAACAAAGAGCAAAAATAGAATGTTACCGTTCGGTAAGGAAAACGAAAAAATTAAACAGAACAGATATACAGAAAATTTATTCTCTTTACTCCGATGTCATTTTGTCTCATATTAACGCTATGTGGATATGTGGAAAGGAATACTGTCAGGGTGAAAACAATAATTTTATTACAGTTTAATTAAGATGTTGCATATAATCATAAAGGGGATATTAACTACGGATTTCAGCATCACAAAAATATTTGCCCGAGAAAACGTTTCTTCGTACCATAGATAAGTGATATAAATCGTCGCTTGTAATAGTTACATCCGCACCAGAAATAGTTACACCTGATGTCTACAAATGAAGCAATGTATTCATACTGTACCATCAAAACTGTCAGTTACTACAATTTTCCGTAAAGTACAATAGGTAGAATCAGGTAGAAAGGGACAAAGGGATTGCTATATTTTGACATGTAATAACAAATGACAATTCAAAGTTGGGATTGTCTATTTCACAGTAGCACTAAAAAAGGCGAAGACAGCCTTTAAGCAACAAACAACACAGAAATTGGGCAAAGTACCTCAAATTTATAGTGCGAAAGTACCAAAAAATAAAGATCTGTTTAACTGGAACTATTAGAAGATATCTTCCATTCATAACTGTCTTAAACTGCACATTGAATATTCAGGAAAATGAATCAAGATAATGAAATGAGGAACCACCAGAGGATATATAAGGGAGAAGTATGGGGTTCGGTTCTTCAGCAAAAAACATTTAACATTTACTTGGAATTGAACAAAGGTCTGCGAAGCAATTGCCGGACCACCGGAAAGTGAAAGTCTTGCTTTCAATGATCCGCTACATTCACCATCTCGAGAAAGTTCAGCCAGTTTCCAAGAGACTGTGTTGCTCGAAGGTGACCTAAGGCACTTATTTTATTGTTAGTTTTTGGAGATTTTATGATTGAGAGAAACCCAAATCTAACGAGTCCAGACTCTTTAAATGTTAAAGTCGTCATTTTAAGCCGTGATTAATTAGTAATTAGGATTTCATTTATGGTCATCGTTACAAATATCAAATCAAAGTGCATATCCCCGCTTTTTTTTGGTACTTACCATTCTGCATTAGGTTCTGCAATAACACTGACTACAGAGCCCTCTACCTTTGTAGTGAAAACAACATTCACAAGAGAGCAGTCGATACTGCTATCCATATTTAATCGATAATCAATTCTTAAATCCGTATTCTGTGCTTCCAATTTCCAGTAGACTATCAAAGCAAGTGGTGGAACTGTTGGCTCTTTTAATTCATACGTCAAGACCTAAAATAACAGGAAATGAGTAGTTCAACCTCAAGGGAGGGATTGGAAGAACTGTTTCTTCTGAACGTATATTGAGTTACCTCTATATTGAAAAACTGAGAATCTGGTTTTTCAATCTTTCGAGCAGACAACCACTCAGCTAACTGAGTTTTCTCAAATGTGAACGTGTATGGTGCAGCAAAAGCGTCGATAACTTGTGAAATCAACTAAAAACATATTTTTAGTAAAAATTACTATCTCGCATTACTGTTTCAAAATTGATCGCATTATTTCATCATTTTCTTTCGAAACTTCATTATTTCAGAGAACTATCTACTTTAAATTGATAACATATTTTATTTTAACTTGTGTAAACAAGTAGTGTGCTAGTTTGTTTTTGTTTAGCCAAAAGTAAACAAATTAATGAATGTGTTAATGAATCGACAGAATGAGTAACTATAAGAACGACCTTTCACAAATATTAGGACTAATATTACTAAATAGCAGAAGGTTGGAATTCACTTTATAACACAGAAAACAATTTCTCTAGACAACAGTACCTGATTGTTCGGAGAAATACTTTTGATTTTATCAGCATTTTTCAACGTTACGATAAGTGGATCAATGTCAGAGGTGAGGTCAGTTAAAGCGGGAACTACAGTAGCTGGGAACGACACAAGAACTGAACCGAAAACCCGAACTGTTGTCCTGCAAAATTTATTATATTTTCCGAAAATCAGAAACTATTTCCCAGTGTATTTGTTTTCAAATATTTTCATAAATAACTTACTTATTCCAGTTCTTTCATTAACTACGATCACTTACTTTGCAGAATCTGTTCCTCTGAACCACGCATGTATGTACTCATTAATTGCCATTGCAACCGGGATACGATTCTCTGCTATCGTGGCTGAAGCGCTCAATAAATTCGATGCTGACATCGCGAAAGGTGTTTCAGTAGACAAAGAATGTTCCGAAGATAAGGCTGATTCGGTTCGAGAAAACGTCTGTTCACTTCCCATCGATTCCTTTAAATGTCGAAAAATTAAAAGCAACAATTAGAGCCAGATAACTATATAAATAATCACGATGTGGATTAGCGTTCAATAAATAGGCTTATGATTTCAAGTAAAGCCACAATTCATTGTATTATGTTACAGTGCACATTTCCTTCTCTATCCATAGCAAAGAGCAAATGCTAATAAAAAAACACATGAAGCATTAAAAGACATGATTGATTGCTACAACTTAGTATCTTTACCACTCGAGCAGAATGCTGAACTGATGAGTGATCACATGTTTGCAGTGCCAAGCTAGATACTCCAGGTGTTGGGGTACTACTGTGCGGTCGTGCTCGAACTATATTTGAACCAGACATCGAAAAAGAAAATGGTAATGATGAATTATAGGGATCTAAAAGAAACATAAATTAGATAGTTTCAGCTACCATGAAGCTTCGTTTTTAGAAACAAATCCAGTTGTGAAGAATTTTATGACTACGCGTGAAACAATTTTAACAGTAAACAGATTTCAATTGAGATTACCCAAGTGTTTTCCACGAATATGATCATCACCAGTAAGCGCAGCACGAAGTGGTTGAACAATTCCTTCCAAACATGCATTGAATTGTGTTGAACGACGTGTAGATGACCATGGATCCTAAATGAAGGAAATAAATATGTGTAAGCTTCACGACAAATTATAAACTAGGAACAAGATGAAAAAACTTGCACAATCAAAAGTGCTGCTTCTGCTGAATCTTGTAGAATGTAATACAATATTTCCGATCGCGTCCCGAAGCTCATCAACCGATGCGGTAATGTTACTCTTGGATTCACTAAGAGGTTTAATACTTATGTGACGCAATTTCGCTGCTTGCCGTAGATCTTCATCATCGTCTGAAAACAGATATATTAAAAAGGAATGAATTTAAGGCACTATTTATTTTTCTTATGTTCAATCCTAGAAAAAACAACAATACAATCTACCTGAAGACTCAGTGCAGCTACTCCAACGTGATCGACCAAAATTATCACCGGCACCTTCATCATCATTATCCTCCGGTGGTGGTACAGTAGGAGGGGACGATGGCACAGCTACAGGCACATCCAATATGTTAAGAGAACCATTTGTTACAACAAACTAAAGATATTAAAATTTTGGTGAAGGTTGCACTAACTTTTTAAAACAATATACAGTGCCAATCTAAAATAAAAACTTGTCAATTCAAAATTTGAGTGGAAGCAAATTGTCTAGAACTAACAGGTTTTTCTTCGCTCTTGCTACTACTTGCAGTGCTTTTCGAGTCTTCCGTGCTGCAAAAGTTATTTAGCTTTCAAAGCAAGCTGTATCAAAAACAAATGCTGCATCATTAGTACTATTCGGTCATATAATGCTACTTGCTGCTAATTGTACGGCCGTACAAGGTCAAATATGAAATTTATGAAAGAGATATTAGTCGTGACACTAAGAGCCATTATCAATTCAACATCGCCATAAGACGTTTACATCTGTTGAAAAGAATCGTGAATATTTAGTACTACATTTTTACAAGTAAAACATACGTTGGACCGTCCATGTTGAATGCAGTGATGTCGGTATTTGACTTCTTATGTTTGTTTCGATATTTCTTCAGGAAACCTAAACAGGAACACATCAAATAATTTCAGAAATCCTAACTCCACAGCAAAAAATTGAGGAACGAAACACGACGAACTCAAAGACTCTGACTGGCTGTGACTAAATTCTTGATGTGGGGGTTCCGATGATGGCAGGCTGCTTTGCGACGCATACTTCTTCCGTTTGCCAGGCAACCATAAAGACAATTTCTGCCGGCCTAATGAAGCTGAAAAGGGCATTGATCCAGGACCAATATTTGCCGCGGTAGATGAACTGCTATCGCTTGCTACTGGAGAAGGCTGCAAAAACAATCAGCTAACTTAATCTTCCTGTACATGCCACGTTCCAATTTAGTTGTGAAGAAACAATTCAATTCCTACCATATTCAGCCGAAAAATAAGTGAAAATTGCTTCACATTTTTGCGAAAAAAATAATAAAAACTATGAACCTGAACTTTCAAAACACTAATTTCACTATTCCAGGCATCAAACGTATTGGTATCAAGTGTCATCAAATTGTGTACTATAGATAGGTGTCCATCCGCAGGAGCTGACTTATAGGCAGCTGTTGGTAAATCAGAAGAACATGGCGCCAATACAAGATCCGGTGGATTAATATCTTTAGCAGTATCAATTTCTTCAAAAACGGCAAATTCTGTAAAAAAAAAAAATAAATCAAGCTTTTTTAATTAAATATATCTATTAACCAACTAAGTTCTCTTACTGGCCAACAATCAATAAAAAAACTTTGTTGTAAAAATGGAAAAGAATTCAAAAAGCATCGTTATTTAAAAAATTCTATAATTTCTATAATCTTAAATTCAAAACACAAATACCTGGCCGATCTTTGCCTGTCCCTTTTGTTTCAACAAATTTAATCAACATCCCGTTAATGTCCAAATTATCAACCGAATCCCGATACAGAGTGCATACCTTCAAAAAACAACAACGGAGAAGTTGCTCCTAATAATAGTGAAGTTAATTCAGAACAGAAAACTGTTCAATTATACTATAAAAACCCAAACCTGTGATGTAGCAGATGCAGACTCGTCTAATGTACGCGCAAATGCTGCCATAAACGCTTTCATTTGGAATAAAAAGGCTTGATCATGTGCTTGAAATAGGCGCGTTGCTTTAAGCATTTTCTCTTCAAAATTAGCTCGTACACGCCCATACTTATCTACATAATTCTTATATTCATCTCGTGATTTGTTTAACTTATTTTCAGCCTGCAAAATATGAAAATTTAAAGAGCTTCATAGAATCTGAAAACCAATCTAGTGCTGTTATTTTCATAGTCCAGTGTGAGCACTAGCAATCTTGAATTAGAATGTAACTGAGGACAGAAAGCCAACCTAACATGCTCATTACGTATGCCAATCTCACTTATTAAAAGTCCGATAAATAGTCCGATTTGATGATTTCTTTCATACCTAATACCGAAAATTATGAAAACTAGAAACTTTTTGAAAAGTAAGGCGCAACAAACCATTCAAACTAACCTTTGAAACGTCTTTCGGTGTGGCATTTTCTTTTTTTAAACGTTCCAGTTCATTTACCCGTTGTGCGTATGTTTCTTTCGACTGAATTAATGTATAAGGTTGATGAGAAATTGAAGTCCAGCAAAACCTAATTATTTAAATACAGTCTGGGATTCGCTGTTCTAAACATACGTAACTATGAATATAGAAGATAAAACTTGCATTAGTTGATAAGACCAACTGATAAAATTAATATTTACCTTTTGCAGACATGTAGTAGTGGTTTGCATTAAATTTACTGCATCTACAACATCTTGTTCCTTCATTTTTTTCCTCGACCGTACCAAATCATCGTGGTATTTGAAAACCTGAAATAAATCGAAATATTTGTTATTGAATTAAATAACTGTCACGGAATTTCGGAAAAATGTATCATAGAAATTGGTAATTCCAAACTTTCAAAGTTTATCGTGATTACTAACATCTTTCAATAGATGTTGCAAGCTAATATAAAAGGATGCATGTATTTCTGTTAAAAGCTCCATTGTATTCTTCGTTACAAGCCATGCATTTGAAAACAACAAACTCGGTGCAGCCAGCCCATTCGTCTGCAATTTGTCAAATTTTCTAGCCAAATTTTCTGAATAATTTGTTCAAAAACTTTCTTTATTTCTTATTAAAGAACCGGTAAAAATTTGCTACTAAAATTACTAGTGTTCTTTCGATTGGCGTACTATATATATATGTATATATATATACAATATCGTGACACTACTGATTAAAAGTCAATAGAATAAAATGAAATAAAAAAGTAAAAAGAGTAAAATGATAGGAAAGAAATCTTGGAGATAACCGGTTAGCTTAGTTAAAGCTTGTATATCAAATTCACTACAAGAAAAAAATGAGAGATAATACCTTAGCAATACATTTACTCAAAAATTTGTTCCATTCCTCTTCATATGCTGCTCTTTCCTTTACAAATTGTGCAAATTCTTGTACGGATTCTTCTTCATGTTTCAGATTCTCGTATAAAACATGATATCCATGGTGTTTCTGGCCCTGACAAACAATTCCAGTCAACTAATTTAATCTTATTTACGCAAATCTTGCACAGCAAAGGAGTAGATTTTCAAAATGTCTAGAAAGATTTGCAACATATCCACCTAATCCATCTAAACTTCTACTATACTGATACCATTATTGTGTAAAGACTTTTATTTGTGAAACCCATCAATTTTAAAGTGAAGTACTTTTCAAACTCGTTTGCAGAAAAAATTTTGAAAGGTAAAAGCAATCCCTTATTCGTCAAAGTTTGTTTATCAAAAGTAAAAAATTTTGAAGATATTAAAGGCTCACCCAGAAATGTTCGGCATAATCAACTGTTGTTGCAACCATATCTATAGCTAGTTATTCAACAAAACAGGACATTGGGAGATATAAATACTGCTCAGTGTTTTCAGCATTTGACGGGAGCTTCGTCCTTTTTGAACTTAAAGTTTTGTTCATTTGCGCATCGATATGCAACAAAACGCGTTATTTCTATGTAGAAATAACAATTTATATGTGGAAACTGATAAATACTACAAGGATTAGTACGTCTATAATGAAATCAATAACAATGATATAGTTTTATTAAATTCTTTCATACCGAAGGTCTCGTAGTGTAAGAGTGTCAATAGATAAGCCAGTAACAAGAAGGAAATACTACATAGTAGATTCTGTGAGACAATAATCTAAACTGCATAAGCAATTTATATTTCCGACTAAGCTATATTGAACAATAGCGGAAGACTGTTTTTTGGTATTTCAACAACGCTAATATTAATATCATATTTACAGATTTGGTTGTCTTCGAAAATTTTTTGCTTTAAAGTGTGTTACATCTTTCACCAGAATGCCTTCATTCTATGGAAGGGATCAGTGTAGTATCGATAGTTTTTTGCTAAACTCGGAATAAAGGAATCAGCAAAAACACAAAGTTGGCAAATGAGTCATTAACCATGAAAGATCAATTAGAGATGATAAGGTCTTTTACTATCTTTCAGGCATTTTCTTCATCATTCTGAACTCTTGAAGCTTCACGAATCCTTTCCATCTATCAAAGTTTCTAATTAATATATCAGAAAGTCCCCATTCAGTTTCTGAATACAGCAAAACAAAAAAAACATTTTGTATATATTTGCAGCTTTTGATTATTATTTGGCATTATTTGATAATCACATTATAGTCAAACGGCGCGAAGTTATATGTCAACCGCTTAATTCAGTGCTCTCATCCCACATGTCAACAATTACCTATCAAAGTTACCTTCAGCATGGCTTACTTATCTCAAACAAATTTGAAAAGTGGGAGACATATTACCACATGGGTCACTGTTGACAGCACAAAATAAATGAGCGACAGTTCCTTTCAAACAATCAAGATGTAGAAAGGAAAGCCAAGAGAAAGCATTATGCCCCAGAGAGAGTCTACACTTGTATTATTGGTCGAGGATGGAATGAGAAAGAATAGGAACGAATAGGAACGCTTCTCGCTTTCTTCCTTCTTCTCTCCGTTCTTCATTATGTAGAATCACAACCAAAATATAACCAAAAATACGCTAAACGTTCCACGATCATCCTCAAACTGCTCTGTTATTTGCACAGTTCCTTATGGTAATGGCTAACGTGACGATAAATGCAGTGTAAAGTAAAGTAAAGTAAACAAAGCATACATGATCCATTGAAATTTGGATTATCCAGAGGGTGACATCTTTTTCCTTTAGCACATCAAACTTCAATTAATTTTTGAAAATGTGCAGATATTAAACTCTCAGAAAAGAAAAAAGAAACTATTTGCGAATGACATCTTCAGACTCGCCACGGAATGAGATCTTTCGACTCACCACGAATGACAACAACAACGGCGTCATTGTTCTGAAAGTGATGAAGACAGCTGGACCAACCGCAAAATCTGCGAAACCCGGTCGGCAGATGAAAGAAATGAAGATTGGACTGGAAGGAATATTTCAGGATGTTGGGAAGTGAGTTTGTGACAGACCACTAGCAGATGACGTAGTGGCCCTTTCCTGACCTGGCACACACAACCCCATGGCACGACTGTGAACGAAATGGCGTGGTTAATCGAAAATAGAGTTTCCTACCTCATTCATCCCTTGAAAGTTTCGTGAACCTTTATCACCTTTTATTATTCTGGGTATTTAAACGTGACAAGTTTTGCAACTAACTGATTGAAAACCTTTGTTTTATCTCTTTTCTCTTTCATATCGTACGGAATGCGGAGATGCAAAAGCATAACAAACTGAATATGTAGTGGAAAACATAAAGACTGTTGGGAGGAAATTTCTTTCTTAAGAAATCGATGAGGTTCTAATAACACTTCATACTAATGCGAGAATAGGCTAAGTTCGATTGGTTTCAAGTAGTGTTTTTTCAAAATTTAACTTTTCTGCAAAATGAATTGCATCTTGCGTTGTCCTTCTTAATCATTAAATTTTCGATTGAAGAAATTTATCACTTCGTTATCAAAAAATGCTGAATGTCCTTATTTCAATTGAATTTTGCTTTATTAGTACCCAGTGAATTTAAGACCCTGCGAATACGACTAATCAAAATGTCGTAGATAATGACGCATTGGGATTGACTCATTGAATCAGTGACTTCGTTTTATTTCGATGATAGAAGTTCACGCAAATGAAACATCAGTTAGAAAAACATCAGTTTGGTATTTAAAATATAGAGCTAGGAAGAGAGTTTAAATAATGTTGGGAGAGGAAGAAAAGATCATCGGAGAGAATGTAAAAAAGCCAGCGGATAAGCGGGTCGCTCGAAAGTGAATTCGATTGCATTCAATAATATATTAATGGGTTTAGAAATTCACTTGGTTGATGGCAGTTCGGACGAACAGAGGTTCGATGCCCAAAGCACTTATCACTCGCGTTGATTTTACGTCACAAATGAACAAATTAACTTTACCGCGTTTCCCAATAATTATATATTTTAGCAACCTATAATTCTGAATTATTTATTAAAACAGTTAGTAAACTTCCAAACACACTTTGATTCTAAAATCTTAAACGATTTTTATCAATAATTTCAATAGCTTTTCAGTCAAATTTTACTTCTAATTATATTACGAAATTTTCGGAGACTAAATATCGATCTAATTGCCTCATTAATTTAATTGTCCTCATTATTTTTTAATCTTTTTAAAATTTCCTCTTTTTATCGGCATTCTCTGATGTTCAAACAAAGATTGGAATTCTTCACAAAATAAAGCTGCTAGAAAACAGGATGGTTGATGTGTTGCTGTATGAATATAACAATGATGCTTCCAATCTGCTAATGACTTATTTATAAAATACTGCGGGAAAATTGTCTCCAGTTATTCCTATGTTTGTTTATGTTTTATTATCTAATTGGATGTTTATTGTTTGTTAAGAAACAGGTTCAATTGTTTAGTTAATTAAGTATCTATTCTTACAGGTTGACATATTAAGGAAAAAAGAGTATTGTTTACTTCGATTCACATAATCTCACCGCACTCCAAGATAACATGATGTATCCTCGCAATCAGTCTTTTAACTTTTACCTTCCGTCTTTTCATCAACTTATTGACGGCGGTACATGGAAGTGGAAGGGCAGAAAGTTTCCAAGGGAAGATACCTGCTTATTCTCCAAGATACCTGCTATTCTCCAGGTGGAACGAGCGAATTGTTTGGCGTGACATATTGCAAAAACCTTCTACACTTCTTCAGCAAAATGTTTCCAAATGTCGGTAATTTTAATGCATTTGAATTGAAAGCTATTAAAAATTTCAACATGGAACTAAAACCGTTTTGACATTTGGGGAAAAAATTGAATTATTTGTAAGTATCAAAGAGAATTCGATCCGTTCGAAAATTTTTTCAAAACAAAAAAATTGAAATATCACGTGAATTTTCCACTGTTAACTTGCTATTTTGCAATCGTTTGCTCGAAACTATACTGGCAGTATTTCGTTTGTCTCTCCTTTTATTTTCAGATATTTTAAACAATAGTATACTTTTTAAAAATCCATCCATCAAATTAATGTTTAGGGGAAAACAAAGAACGACTATAAAAGGATGAAAATTTGCAAAGACTGCATTATCGTCTTTTTGTTGTATAATCGCGGCGAAATAATAGATCCGTCGGTATGTTCGATTTAAAATCAGTGGCTGTGACAAATCTCCGCAATGTTCGCCGCATGTCACCTTTTACCTTTGATTTCTAACGGTTACTGAAATGTAAACAGTTATTACCTTCTACATCTACTAATTTGCTATTTCAAATAATTGAAATGTTTTACATATTACTTCTACTAATTTACTATTTCAAATAATTGAAATGTTTTACATATCCAATATATTTATTTGCCTCCGCATAAGTAGAAAGCCACTGTTAATCGGCGAGTTTTAAGATTTCTGAAAACTGTAGATTCGATCTTGAGACTACCGTGAATCTCTTTGCAAAAGCACACCATAATTTCGTTCAGTAAGCTAAATGGAATAAGCCGTAAGTAGAAAAAATGAGTGGCCACAGAAGCTAACTTTCTGAGCAAGGAGTAAGAGAAATGTAATATTTCCTTTGTTTGCTTTCAAGAAGATACGTCGTGCTAGCTCAATGGAAGTACGACAGGGATGTTTGATTTCTCGTTTCATATACAATTATTGCTCCATGTACAAATATCACTCACAAATATTACTTTATTGCTAATATTGCTTTCTTGTGAATGGCGCTTTTACGAGCTACTCGACGTATATAAATGTATACAAAGGTATATATTCAATTTCTCAATCTTGTGTAGGCAATGTTGCCTGTACCCACAGTTGGATTTGACGTTCCATAAATTTGGCTAATATAGTTTGGATTTCGTTTTTGTGCATTCACGGAACAAGAATACTTAGAATTTTTTTTAAAAAAAAACAGCTATCAATCCGAATTATACCAATCTTTTTCTAGATTTTCTAGCATTAGTTTACGTCTGACTAATGCACTTTTATAGTTTCATTTTGCATAAATTTCTTCCACTAAAATTCTGAACTAAATATCTAATTTGCCAAAATTTTTGGCTTAAATGCTTAATTTAAGTAATTTCGTGCATATTAAACCTTAAAGAAATATTCTTTTATTTGAATAAAACATTAATTGGATGATTTATATGACTTACTAATTTACAAATGATTTACATTTCTAAATATAAATCTGCTAATGATTTATAAAAGACTTTGAAATCATTTGTGACAAAACTTCATTTGTCATTACGCCTAAGCATTATTAGTACTTTTATACAGTTTTTGATTGAAAGCGAACGTCACATTGCAGTAAAATAGTGTATGCATTTTTCAGTATATTTCATACTTTTGGAACGTTTAAGGTTCAGTGATGGAACATCATAATCATCATATGAATCACGATGTAAATGACGCTAACATTTCCGCGTCTCTGATGAACCACTCGATGCACACGCATCACTCACATAATCATTACTCCACATCACATATGCATTCCATGTCATTCCATTTTGGTTCCAATGAAATAGTACTTTTTAGTTTTTGGGTTGTCAGTAGTCCGATCGGTTTGTTTCTTTACCAAACTATTATTATTAGTCGAAGGATCACTGAATTCATATTACTGCCTTCAGTGAGATATCATGTAAAAATCAAAATTTCTCAACCTACACTAAAAAAGAAAAAACTTTTTCCGTTATAGTGTTCGTATTGATTGATAATTCTAGCTGAATCGAAATTTTTGCTGTCAGATTCCTTTACCGAAGGATAGTATGCTTAAAGATGAGAATTGGACTTGTAATAGTGATTGATTCTTCGCTTAATCATTCCATCAAATCCTTTCTAAATTCAGAACTTATACTAGCCTGTGTCATAACAGTTTTGATGTGCTTTATAATGGAAAGTATCCGATGGTTTCGAGGTATCCGACCACCGTATAACGTTGATTTGCATACGGAACAGTCGTCTGTCGCAAACATCAAGTCAAGATATTTTACCAAGTTTCTTGAAAATCCTACTTTTCGCAATTATTTTTAATTGAAAATTTTCCAAAGAAATAATTTTGAAATTCCGAAGAAATAATTTTGCAATTTCTAGATTTGCTCCGCGTATTACGATGGCTATGTGCACGGATTCAATCTTGCATGCAATCCAACTAACACTGAGTTATGTCTTAATGCTACTCTTTATGACATTCAATGTATGGATTTGTGTAGCAACCGTTCTTGGTGAAGTGTTTGCCAGGCTCATTTTTGCCGTTGCATCTGCTGATAATCAAATAATGAAAGGAGTAAGTTGTCTCGAATTGAAGTTTTTCTTACTAATTAAATCGGTAGAAAGTCAGAACAATCCGAAGAATTTGAGACATGAAAAACTGCACTAGAAAAAACCGAAATTTCCTGAAAGGCTGAGAATTTGAAAGTTGACCGTTTAACAGTGAGAAACCCTGGTTGATCTCTGTTAGAAAGAATTGTTACTGCAAGTAATTTCAGAATCCGGCTGACATGGGATGTTGTAGCTGATTCCAAGCGTTATTTGATTTTTGGCTGCAGTAGTTCTATAAAGCTAAAATCTGGATCTTTCTTAAAAAGGGAATAAGGCAATTTTATTAGCCTCTGTATGTGGTATTTTTAATGTTACGAACTAATGTACTTTTTTTCCTATTTTTTTTTATTTCCTGATGATATCTTTGATTTGCGCATATGCGTTGTGACAGAATGTATTATTGGATGAAATAAAAGAAATATTGCAACACTTTTTGGATTAGGTATGAATGGAAAAAAATATTTGATTAGGTATGAATGGAATGTCGCATTTTAAAATCATATTTTGGCCGAAAAGAAAGATATCGCGGATTTTTAACATTTTTGTTGACATTGCGAGTTTTTATAGCATGGTGACATGATGCTCGGTTATGTCCGGCTACAAACAGGAAGTGTAATCGAGTGTTTAGGCAGTCCTGATGTTCTGAAGTTGAAGACAAAACCCAAAATAAATTATCTGCAGACCAGTGATTTTTACCCACTAGACTGTACTAACACTTTGATCTTGGTCACATTACTCTGCCTGGTTGTAGCTGACAAGAAATCTTGGAAAAGTGTTATGGAACTTTGATCTTTCAACATTACCATCTCCTCAAGTGATATAAAATAACGCTATAGTCATTGCATTTCGTTGCGCTATTTTGATAACTTATCACGCTTACTTATTTTTGGTATATGTAATGATCAAGCTTGACGTATCGAGCATGGCGCATAATATGCAAACATTTGGTCTCAAGCTCTATTGGTTTCTTGAAACGCTGGTTTAAGGTCGCTGTGAAGTGTTAGGTTAGAAGTCACCAACAAGTAACGCTAAAACTCTATTTGAGAGATAACGTCGCCGATTCACTGCGTCACATCCGTATTCATTTTAAAATTATGGAGTCACATTTTCAAATCCTTGTACGGAAGTGAAACACAGATTTTTGACAGAACACCTGCGTGATATTCCGCGATACTAGAGATCGCGGGAATATTGCTGAAGAGAGAGGAAGGTCGTACTTCGGTAAGAAGTGGTATGAGTAGAGATGAGGTGGTGTTTCCCGATAAAAAACAGGGTCTTTATCACTGTTACTATTCTTCCCAGATATTGTTGGGATTTGTTAAGGTACTATTGCTAAGGGCATATGGTTATAAATCTTGCCAATGTAAATTTCAGGAGTACCCAGTGGAATTTACAGCGCCGAAGAAAATTATGTCTTTTCGGTTTTTCACATTTTTATGTATATATGAAAGTTAATACATAGAGCACAGGCATAAGTGTATCGATTTACCGGTTATAACATAAACGCGAAGTGAAGGAAAAGATAGAGTAACAGCAACATGTCATTGGACAGTGAGCGAGATGATCAGAAGAAAAGTGAGGAGCAGAAGGGAATGATCTTGGAAGAGCTTCCGGAAAATCTGATTAGGTTTGATTACTTTCGTTGCTTTCTAACTACCTTTTTTTCCTACCTTCCACTTGAAGAGCTTTGTATAAGAGCCATGGCAGATTTGACAGAAAGGTCTCTTCTAATCTCGTTAAAACTCTAAGTTCGTTTTTTATAACAACTAAACTATTAATAGAATATTAGATTCAAGTACTATTTACTCTCGACCGCTTACATAGTCGTTTATATATCTAGATCATTAGATGTCCAGCTCATACTCCATTTTCATTGTTTATTTGATTCTCTCCATCCAGACTTCTAGTCTAGGAGACGTCTGGCTCATTTGCAAACGTCATTCGAACTTAATTCCTTCTTTACTTGGAAATAAATAATAAAATGGTCTAGATCTATGACAAGTTTCAAATTCACTAATCTCTAATTGTTTATGGTTTCGACTTCCCGGTAGGATTATTTATATCCGCACCTATTTTTCATAAGCAAGAGATTCTTCTTTCACGTTTGTTACCTGCAGTATATTGAGCTGAATTATTATTGTCATTTTGTGCTTTTCCTTTGTTAATGGGAAATTGAAATAGACTTCCTTGAATTTAAGATTTTTGAAAATTTGGGATTAATTTTATTAAAGATTTGCATCGCTGATGGTGAAGACATTTTATGGCAAAGAGCATTACATTGTTTTGGATTATGTGCGAAGAAATAAGTGTATCAAAGAAGATGATCTCAGACACTTGATCAAGTTTGACCAGCGTTTTCTGCGAACAGTAATTTCTTCAATCCTCATTTAGCTGGATATCTATAGTTTCTATACATGAAGATGACTTTTGGAAATATTTATGGGATGTAAGAGTTATTTAACTTCGCTTGATGATATTGTAAACCGTATCATTGTTTTTTACTTGGAATATGCGTATGTTGTATGTTTTGTTGTTAATTTCAGGTTCTAATGCAGTTGAAAGTTGACAAAATTCTAAAGGAACGTTTGGTATCAGAAGAAACGGATGGACGGGCGCGTAAAGTCAATTATTATTTTATTAATTACAAAGCATTGTTAAATGTGGCAAAATATAAAATCGACCATATGAGGTTTACCGATTTTTTTCTGAATGGCTTAATCACTATGAGATATATCGATTATGATGATGCATTACTTAACTTTGTTTGACATTTACTTCCTCAGTGCAATGGATCATCATAATTGCTCGGAACGAACTTATAATGCTGTTATTGAAATATTCTATCTTTTTGTTGGTTCGGATCGACATAGCTTAAGGTGTTCATTGGCTTCAGATCTTCTGTAACTTATTCCGGTTGGAAATCTGCGAAATCACATGCAGATTTTAGCGCAATCATGCAGTTGAAAAACATTAACATTTTTATAGACAACGTCTGGAAGTAAAAGATAAGGACGAAGTACATAAAGCTTCATACCGCTGTACCGGTTGTCAGTATCAGTATGACGCTATGGAAATGGATAAAATTTTTGATCCGCTTACGCAAGAGCTTTGTTGCTGGCGATGTCAGCAAACCGTTGAACCGGATGAAACTGCTGGTCCAACTTATGAAACAAGGCAAACTTTCGTTTTCGAAAGACTTTCCAATTTGTTAGCTTAGTTTTTGCTGCTATTTTTTCATTGGGAATAGAAAAATACGTATATATTTTCCCATTTTTCTGCTATTAAAGTTTTATATTTCTTTTTTTTCTTAATTTAGATCGTCTTTAGCGCGTTTCAATGAGCAGATGACTCCATTCTTTTCAATGTTGCAAAGCTTATACGGTATACGTCTTGCCAGGCATCTTATCGAACCATCAATTAAAGTTGCGGATAATATTTTTATAGAACGTAAGTTATTTCCTACTGCTCAACAAGGAAATATTTGGAGAAGTTAAATCGGTTTCATTTTCTTTTCATCCACTTTTGTTCCGATTTTTGGAGTTTTTAGCGGATGGAAAACGAGTAATAGCAGTTGGTGAACGACCATTCGGCGAACAAACATCTGCTTCGCGATTAATGTACCAGAACAGTATCATGGTGAGCATAGTAGAAGAAGGTGTGACTCCGAATGTTGAGCCAAAAAAGCTTGTACCCTGGCTTCACAGTAATCAGGTGTGCTTTTTCGAACTCTTCATTCGTAAAGAAAGTGTTTGAATGCCACTTCTCTGCGGTCATGAAAATAAATGCAAGTATTTTTCTCTTTTTTTCTTTTCAGAAAGATGAAGAAGCAACAAGTTCTTTCACAGTCTGTTCCGACAATCCTGCCGATTCGAATGGAATCATAGGTCCCGAAAAGAGCAAAAATGATATCGACAGCTTACTGGTCACTGAATTCGAAGAGGTATATTTCATTGTCACATTTAAGTTATAAACGATGAAAAAAATCGAATGAAGGAAGTCAAATTAATCAGAAAAATAGGCGCAAAAATATCAGTAAAGTTGGTGTAGTAGCGAGGTACAATGACTTCAATGTTTCAACTTTTGAACAAGAAAAGAAAAGAGAGTTGTTTCGACAGTGGAACCGATCAGCTATTCCTGCTTTATTTTGTCTGATACCTATTTGATTTCCAGTTTACTAGTGCCTATGTGAGGGCATGACTTTCATTCAGTACTTCCACCTTTTTAGGCAAAGCCGGGAACATCTCTTGCAGAAAGTATTCAAGAAACTGCATATGAGCCGGTTAATATGGAAAGTGACGATGACGAAGTTATCTTTGTCGCCGGAAAGAAATATTATCTAGATGAAGTTACACCCGAATTGGTGTCTCAGATGAATACTTCCGAAAAAGAAATTTATATACAAAGGACACAAGAAAATTTCGATTATTGATTTCTCATTAACTTGGCTTCCACTTCTAAGTTGATAGATTTTAGAGGAAAACTTTGTTTTGAAAATCAAGAAAACAAAGTTCTGTTGAAACTTAAGACCTTGTTTGCATTGTATGTCTATATAATAGAGATATACGATGCAATTTTATACGTGTTCCTCCTCTGGAAATTTGTATCTTTATTTTATTACAAAATTTGTAGATTAGCAGACCAATTTATACTACCCTCATAGTTTGAGGAACTCAGGCTTTTCTCGGAGAATTTATTCTGCAATCTTCCATGCATTTCGGAGGTTTTATCGATTTAGAGTCTCTCTGTTATCATGAACCATTCCCAACTGTCCGATTTAAAATTAGATTGTGTCTAAAGTTGCATCAATTGATTTAATCATTGTTTACTGTTGCGCAGGACAAATTCTTGTCATTTTTATTTAGCTATACTATTTCATTTGTTTTGTAATTATTTGGTCCTTAAATTACATTGTATTATGCTGGGCTGTACTTTCCAGGGTAGTGAGAGGTTTCTGTTTTATCAACGGCTGTAAACATTGTGCATAGCCTACATTAAAAAAGGGTGTAAAATCCTAAATGAGGCAGGAAAATCGTTATGCTATGAAGTTGAAAGGTTCATGCTTGGTGTAGTAGGATGTGCAATCTAAACTGCTGCCAGAAGTGAATGCTTTCAAAATTTCACTTCTATCACCGTTTAAAAAAAAATCTGGAACATTTCACGCTTCAATATAGATCAAGATTCGTTAGAAGAAAACCAAAATGAAATGGAGGGTGTGTCAGGTTGAATTGTTGGGACGAATATTTATGAGCGACAGGATGTTCTCATACGTATATTTGAAAATCTTGGACAGAGAACAGACAAGTTGTTTATGGTATTACAGAGACAGGAACTATAAAAATTCGCCCCAATCGTCGTTTTAGATTTTATGAAATTTGGGAAAAAAGTTCAGTGACGCACACTATCTAAAGGCATTGTTGACGTATCGGATGACATGGAGGGTAGCTCAAGATCTAATCTCCAACTCACATCACTGTGGTTAGATGGAGAAGGCCTAGGCACCTACATGATCATTTATGATTTGTGATTCCCTGATTTTCATAGAGTGATGTGAGGGTTAGTGAATGTCCGTTACTGCTTGAAGGTAAGGGATTGGGTACACCGTCGCTATGCTACAGACCAATAGGGGTTAGGGAGGTTTGTGTTTTCTCTTGTAATGTAAGGGTGAGGTTGTTTCTTGCGGAAGTCTACCTACCTGGTGCTGCTACTATCGAGGTTATTTGTATGTCTCAAGTGGTGAAATTTTATTTCACTGCAGTTAATTGAACTAGAAAATGAAAGGTCGAGGAGATACATGTTCTAATGTACCTCGTTGAAATAGGAGTCGAACTTTTTATTTCTGGGACGAAATCCTACAAAAATTCGTTAAGGGAGTTCTCAGAATTGATTACTATAAATAGGGGTCTCATTCAAATCAGAATTTATGTTGTCTATCGACTCACCTCTACCATGTTTCTTTTACGAAAACTGAGCACTTTATCGTGTCGAAAATTGGAGCAATAAGCATAAATAATTATTTCTCAGAGGAGTTTGAGAAACATTGTGTAGTAACGCCCTCGCTGAACTTCAGTTGAGAAAATTGTTCGTAGGGTCACGTAATATCTTCTGAAACGGTCATAAGGGAAGCCCTTAACTGTTACGTCCATTTATTGCTGGTATATTGGACATGCTGAGACGTAATGTTCTGGATCAGATTGATTCGTTATACAGTCATAGGTTACCAGTTGATCAATATCTGGTTTTGTGGTTGGGGGCTGCTTTAATCTGTCTTGAAAGGCATTTTCTGATTGCATTGCTGTTACTGCTGATGGGCCGTAATTGATGTGTCACGTTTTTGTTTTTGTTGTTAAATAAATTATGTTTGACGGTTTTTTTTGGAAGCATAATATAGATTAGTTCATGGTTCAGATTACTATGGGATTTATATAGATTATTTTCCGGTTTATACTCAGCAACACCACTGTAAGAAGGCGAAGAAAGCATGAATGTAGAAAAAATCAAGAAGTTGCAGCAGAATGCAGCTCAGGTGCGGACAGGTGGCAAGGTGAGATTGATTTTAATTAGAATTGAGGCTAGTTTGGTTAACAGATATGATCCGTTAGGTCTAGTGACATTTTATTAGTGTCGTTCTCGAGTAAATATATTTGTGTTTCAGGGTACTGCACGCAGGAAGAAGAAGGTCGTCCATAAGACCGCAGCCACGGATGACAAAAAATTGCAGAGCAATCTCAAGAAGCTTTCAGTAACAAACATTCCAGGAATTGAAGAGGTTCCATATGATCTGTTTTCTCCCATTGCCTTTCATTTTCTAGTAATTACTTTAATGTTTGCAAGTGTATTTTATAAAGTTTCCAGGTCAATATGATAAAAGACGATGGGACGGTGATACATTTTAATAATCCAAAAGTACAAGCATCTGTTCCAGCGAACACATTCTCGGTGACAGGAAGTGCTGAAAATAAACGTAAGTTCTTTCACATGGCATATTTTAATTTCTATAATTAGTTTGTTTTTTATGGTTGTATTTATCAAGAATAAGTTCAAGAAATTATTCTCATACTACTTTAGAAATTACTGAAATGTTACCCGGTATTCTCAATCAGTTGGGAGCAGAATCACTGACGCATTTGAAAAAGTTAGCAAACAATGTTACTAGTCAATTCAAATCTAACGATGACGACGATGTTCCAGGTTGAAATCTTTCTGGAAAGTTAATTTTTGCAAGTCGCTGGAAATAACATGGCATAATCTTTTAATAATCTAAAACCATTTTTTAAAGATAGTTTTCATTATTGAAAAAGAATAGTTTTCATTATTTTTTACAAAATTCATTTTTTTCTAATGCTGAAACTTTGTTTCATTGTTGGAGCTAACTGGTAATTGTTGGAGCTAATTGGAACTTTGCATCAAAATGGTAGCTAAACCATGAGAACATCTTAAAATGGAACAAAAAGAGAGAACGGAAGGCATAAGACGGTTTTAGCCGAATCTTTTAAGAAGTTATGCATCGAGAATTAATTCCTTCTCGATTCAAAATTGTTCTTTAAAAGTCTTCAACAAGTAGTATTAGTCGGTATAAAAAACAAAAATTCTTCAAAGCTTATGTACGTTCAGATCTAGTTGGTGATTTCGATGAGGCATCAAAGAATGAATCTAAAGTTGGTGATTGCAAGCATGAGCATGGACACGAACACGGGCAAAATTTTCATCATGAAGGTGGAGAAATGGAAACTAAACTGGCTGCTTGAAAATACTGTTGAAATTTTTCGACACCTGCTTAGCGTATTCTCTGGTAGATGGTGTTTTCCCAGATCATTAATTGTTTTTTGAAACTTTTTTGTCCCCACACCAGCTGTTTGGAATTACGGTTTATGAATCTTCTATTAGTTTTATGATGAGACAGGACATATTCCTGTGATGTAAAATTTGCTGAGAGAAATAATTTACTGCTGTGTTTTGTGGGCATAAAATGTTTCTTCGTTAAATGCTTTTCTCTGTCTGATATTTAATATATATGTTTGTTATTTTATACATACCAACTACATTTTTTTCGAGTTAAAAAGAAATTTTGTCGTTTTCAACTGATTAGCCGGCTTAGGAATTAATCAAAAAAAAGATAGAATAAGCACTAATCGTTTTTTGTTGGCTTATTACTCTTAATCATAAACATTTATGTTTAATTTTCCCAGTTTTAGTTTGATTTATTCGGTCACTTTTTCCCTTGATGGAATTCAATTTTTCTACAAAATAAATGTTTGAATAATCCTGTTCTTAGCATATAATCTTGTTTGCAATCGACTTGTTAATGCACGGTGATGGCACTCTTATTTTTCCTGTTTTACATGATCAGAGTGTTAATATTCATAAATTTGGTGTATGATCAATAAAAGTTGAAAGTATTACGTGATTATGGATTATAATCTCAATGGTCTCAATGAAACTGATTATTAAAACTGATTATGATTGTGATTATGGAAATCGAAACTGATTATTCGTTAGGTTGGCGTTAACGCCGAAAAAAAGTGGTTGGTATTTCAAAATGCATTGACGGGAAGGAACACATCGTGTCTGGTAAGCGGTGCTGCGGGATTAATGTAGGAGGATACGGTGTATTCGTTGACCTAAAGCAACAGCTATTTACATTGCTCTCATTAACACCTGGGAAATATTGACAGCTATAAGCAATGAAATGACAGGAGCGTGTAAATACTAATCGGTCACGCAATGTCGCTGTTTATACCGGATGCTGGAACCATTATGTCTTACGAACAATTTATATTTAGATTACTGATGTGTGTAAGCATCATACTATGTTTATTAGCGTGATTTACTAATTGATAGGATTGAAAGGTGATTTGGAACAAACATTCAATTCTTTAGTTGAGCTCCTCAAAATAGACTCAATTATTCGCATAACAGCAGCAAATTAATACCGTGGTTTTATTCGCTGCAATGTAATAGTTATACAGTATGAAGAGATATTCTTAGTAAAGGATATATCATGTTCGGATCAAAATTAATGATGTTTGTTCATTGTTTCTGCCTGATTGGTTATTCAGGTACGGTTTTTGACGGATGAACCTCTCTCATAATAGCTAATGGAAGTTAGGATGAATTCCATCAAGATGATTTTCAAAAATTTCAAAAAAAATGTAGCTTTTCCACATTCGGACAGAATAATTTGCTTTAATTAAGAGGTGAATTAATAGTGCAGTAATGAGAGATGCTTCAGACTGGTAATCCTGGTCTTCGAGGCTGATATGTCGGAGGTAACTAAGTGAAAATATACATGAATTATAGAGTTTGAAAGTATATATTTCCTTTAATATAATATTCGAAGTAACCAACTGAAATACTGGTAATTGTGTTTTCGCGGCATGGCCGAAGCAATGAAGGAACAACTTTTAACACTCAAAGGTTAAATATATTTTTCATTTTCAGTTTTTAAAGTGGATGGGATTCAGAATTCTTAAATTCTCGAAAACTTTTGAACTTTTGGATTCTGGACAACATTTTTTTTAGTGATGCGCCTTGCTCGTCCCAAATTTTACGAAAATATGTGTATCCCAATTGATTCAGCTGATTCAACCAGCCAGCTCATCGGCTCTGCTCTCTGTCGTTTAACCGGACAGGAAGCTGCTGATATACCTATTGGGAAATATCTTATGGCACCGCAAAAGTTCGAGTAGGTTTATAGAAAATTCTTAATCTGTTTGGCAATATTTGCAACATTTTTTTATCATACTAATGGCGGTGACATTAGAAAAAATCCTAATGATAATACAACTGCGACGGTGACGCGACTGAATTTTGATTCATTTCTTCCATATATGATCTGAAACACCATGTAATCTCACTCTTTAATTTATACGGTAATTGTGGCTACCGGTCATTGTTAGGGATTTTACAGCAGATAAAAAGCTTTAAGAGATGTAACCTCTGTTTAAAAAATGTCTGATAATTGCAGGAACATTTATTTGGGGGAGACTTTCTCTTTCTTTGTTTGCGTACAAAATATAAGCGATAAGGTTGCGATGGATATATGTATCAAGGTACATATGTCTTAAATTTCCGAAAACAAAAGTTTATCGCTTTTTTGACCCTCGAACTTATCACAATAGTCTTTTATGAAACCATTTTATCGATTTTAAAGTCTTATATCTCATAGACTGATTTGCAAACCACAAGCCAACGTAATGCTCTACCTTCACAGTTACAAGAAGCAAATGCTGTGCTTGAACCAGGGAAATGTTTGGGAGAAATTATTACGCATGAAATCAAGGAAATTGGGCAGCATATGTATGTTTTTTATGAATAATGGGATGAACGGTTCAGAATATTCGTGAAATAGTTTAACGGTATAGTCTTTTTGTGACTTTCCAAATTATCCGGGTTAGGGAAGTAAGCCGGATGATTTATTCGAGGTCTTCGAACTTCACTGGCCAATTCCACTGCAAAATCATTGCATCTCTCTGAAACTAATTCAGGATGGGTGCCTTATCAGCAATAATAGATAAGAACTTAGCTATTGCTAGTCTTTCGTGCATTATATTGGTCTCCTTTCAAAAGAGAAAATTTCTGTTTCCCTTTCTCTGATTTAAAATTAGACCAGTATTCTGTTAGCGTTTAGTTATATTTGAATCATCGGATGTTCTGGACCTTGTGATATTTCAGTAGCATGTTCTAATCATTGTTGTATATTCAGAAAGTAAAATTGAGGCTTTTTTGTTTACACATATTGGATGTGTTAACTTTTAGAACTTCATTAATCTCTCCCTTTGTTATCTTTTTTTTAAAGGATAGAAGGGACTTGTCCATTTTATTAATTTTGCAGATTAGTATGTGCCGTGAGCTATAAAACATCGAAAAATGAGATGTATTTCCGGAAATTTTTCAAATTTCCAGTCACAAAGCCAATCGACGTCCGGACAAAGTTTTATAACGCGGAGGTAGTGTCCCATAATGTATCCTTTTCCATCAGTAGGTTTGCTTGTTATGACAAATACAATTTCGAAAGCAGAACTTATACTTTTCAGTAAAATGTTTCAATTATTTTATTTCGAAGATTCAAAATCTTCAAGATAGTTACGTTGTTCGCATGTTCAATAACTGCGTGTGTGAAATAACTGTTGGCATATGAACAGCCCCTTCCATCTCAATGTTGTTTAGGATGGGAATTTCAAATTTCAAAGCCAGTGCAAGACTTAATGCAAGACTCTCTTATAAGTCTTGCATTTTGAATCTCAATATATATGTGCGAGGAATTGAGAACGAGAAAATATTTTATATGTTCCTAACTTTAACAGTTTTCTTCCTTGTCTTCTTCGTCCGTGTGTTTAATGTAATTGGTTTGCTTTGCATGAATATGTGGAAGAATGGTGTGCATAACAGTGGTATTTATCTTAATTACAGGATAATCTGGTAAGTTCGTTTGCATT